GAGTTCCGGCTAGGCCCATGGGCACGACGTTCCAGACGAAGGAACCGAACTCAGTTCTCATTCCTGTTTTTTTTTTTTTTTTTTTTTTTTTTAGTTTTTTCTTTTGATATCCTCGAGCCAAGTCAATGGCAGAGAACAATTTGTATCCTTTAGTCGACATGATCAACTTAGAGATGTTGGGTATTGCGTGGTGTGAGTAGTGACTGACACTATTCAACGCTCGGTAGTCAACCACACATCTATACTTGTTCGTGCCAGGCTTCTTGATGAACATCACAGCAGCACCATAAGGTGATTCAGCGCGAGAGATCCAGCCCCTCCTCAAGTAGTCCTCCAGTTGAGCTTTGAGCTCACCTTTCAGTCTGTGGGGTACAGGAAACATCGAAGGTTTAGGTATCTCTCCATTGGTGAAGATCTCATAGTCCCACCCAGGTCGACTCACTGGTAGAGTCGTTCTCTCTCTGCCAGTTGATTCCAATAATGTGCAAAACTCATTCACGATAGTTTTTGACAATTTTGAAATGTTGCGGCCCATTGCTTTGGTGCCATCTTCTGTGGGGTTGAAAGCCACCTCGCCAGCATAGCATATTTCAGATACTCTATGCAGCTGACCCCCCACATAAACAGTAAAGGTCTTTCGTTTCGAATCACCCAGAGGTACTTCCTGACGTCGACCTTTGTCATCATTAAATGACCAGATGTTTGAACCAAAGTCGAGTGTTGATGCGGTGTGTTGAAGATGGTCTCTACCGATCAGTATCGAGGCATTCTCATCACAATCAATCACTTCAAAACACACAGACACAGACACATAAAGACCAAACTTGTTCTTTACTTTAAGTTCCTTTACAGTTATGCCCTTAGAGGCTACAGTTGATCCATCGAATCCTCTAAGTACAGTGTCGGACTTCTCCAATGGCATGTTGTGAGCCCAGTGCGCAGGCAAGACTGAGGTGTCAGCACCCGAATCAATCTTGACCTTGGTCAGCCGGTCGTCATCAACAATGGCAACAGTTGAAATCTCCTTGGTCTTGCCTGGTGTCTTGGTACCAGGGTACGTCGACTTGGCCGGTTGTTTGGACTTGATCCATTGTGCCTTCCTCTCCTCAGCTGCCTTCTTCTCCTCTTCAGTGCGGTCGTCTGGCAACGGGCAGTTCCTCACCTGATGTTTGAGAGACTTGCATCTGAAACATCCCTCAGGTTTGGGAGTAGACGTGGAAGTGTGCTCCAGCTTTCTCTTCTTATCAGTAGCCGTCTTGATAGCATCCTTGGTCAAAGGTTTGTTATCACCCTTGGGAGTGTTGTTGTTCTTGGCAACACTCTTGCTCAGTTCAGTGACCATCGGCGCTAACTCACCAGTGTAATCCGCACCATTGAGATACAGGTCACTTGGCAAATTGCTACGGACAGAAGCAGGGAAGGCGGAAGTGAACATGACGGTCTTGAACGTCTTGAGGTCCTTGACGCCCGATGACTCGACAGCTGCACAGGCCTTCCTGAACTTCTCGGTGAAGGCAGAGACATCGGTATCACCAGTGTAACGCAAGTTTGTCAATTCCCTCACCAACTCAGTGCGTGGTTTGTGGGAAGCGAAGCGATTGATCATTGCGCTGGAGAACTTGTTCCAGTTGGTAACACGGATGTCCAAGCCAAGAGACTTCTGAGCCTCCGGTGTCATGGCACTCCAGATGGCGGATATGCGCATTACTTCATTCAAGGCCATGAGGACGCTGCAGTTCTCCTCGAAGTACTTGTTGAAGTCATCAGTAACAGTGAACTTTGGCAACTTGGCTGTGGGCATGGAAAGTTGTCTGGCACTCCTTTCAATCAGTTCCACAACGTCAAGCCTGTCTGGATGTGGAGATATCATAATTACGCCCATTACGCTCTCCACCAGCTCGTTCTTTTTCTCCCACTCCATGTAAGTGGTCAGTCCCGGTTGGGACGCGATTAGTCCCTTCAAGGCCAACGTTCTCTCGTTCGGTGTCTTGGACTTGTCAGCAATGATTAACATGGCGTTTGCTAACCTCTCRCTGGCGGTCGAGTCTTCGTCGTCGGCCATCTCCGTCTCAGGTGTGCGTGGCGTGTCTCGGTAGGCAGGCGTCATAGGGTAACCGTGGCTCATGGCACTGGCTTGCAATCCGAGCGCTTGGACGCGGTTGTCCASGTGTTGGGCGAACCGGTTGTCAGGTTGGCGCGTACGAATTCCACTATCGGTTGGTGCTCCCTTGGATACAGTTGAWACAGGTGTAGACGCAGTTGGCACATTCTTGGGCATGGTAGGCGCAGGTTTGGCAACCTTTGGAGCAGGCTTGGATCCTGCAGCTGAAGGACTGGCATCAGGTTGAGCAGGCGGGGTGTCGGACATCGTGACCGCTCCGTACTGGATTGTCGTCGTAATAGAGGTTCCATTGTTTGGTAATTCATCATCATCATTGACATTGACAGCAGCATTGGCACCAGCAGCAGCAGGCTCGGACGCACTCTCCTTCGACTTGTTGGCGTTCTCGGCGTTCACAACATCTTTCTCCGTCGCCTTCTCAACTCCCGGCTTCTCCTCCATTTCCACATCAGTATTGGAAGCAGTATCAGACATTTTTGATAGCAGTAATTAATAGTAATATAATAACGATAATAATAATAGGTTCAGTACCTTCTTGATACCATGTAAGACTTTAGTGTATAGTTATGGCGTGGATAGTAATAATATAGACAGATAATAGGGGGTAAGGGTAATTGTTGTCCAGTCGTGACTAACAGTCCCGGGTATTTATTGTGTACGGTCATCCATGAGCGTACGTGTGATTAGTGTAGTCGGTTGTCTCCGCTATCATGATGACTCTCGCCATTATGATGGAGACTCACGCCATATATACAGTCTTGGCTTTGGAACACAATTCTATTAGATGCCAGCTCGGCGCGTGTCATCTATCCATATATATATAATTGTGTAAGCCCAACACCTGCTCCACTCCAACCCATCCCAGTCTGCATCCACCATCTTTCTGGGAAGCTCTCATCACAAAGATTGGTCAGTCCAACAAGCTGGTGGTTGAAGCGGTCAAGCGCATCGGTGCCATCCGCGAGGCGCCAACAATGCTCATGAATGATAACGATCATCATAGACAGGTCCCAATGGATGGTGGATTCGATGATATCACATCATCGCCACCACATACCTCAACAACAACGACAACGACAACAAAAACAGCGTCACAAAGCATCTGGTGAAGTGAAGAAGAAAAGGAAGGCAGTCAACGACAACACTACTACCGCTGCTGCCAACAAGCAACTGTCACCCAAGGAAACCGAGACCAGCGACAAGCGACACCCGATTCATCCGAGGATGAAGACAACGATAATGACGAGGACGATGATAATGAAGACGAGGACAATGATGAGGATGAGGACAATGATGAGTACTCGGGTGCCGACTCCAGTAGTGTTGGTGGCTGGCAATTACGATGATGACATCAAACCCAACCCTCAACACAATGGCACAGGAAAGGATGTCGATCCACTCTTGCGAGGTGTCCTCACCACCTGTCAAAATAACAGCAAAGAGTTACCGCCGATGACAGGTGAACAACAAAAGAGATATACAATCATTGGAATCCCCACCAGGAAGATAACCAAATGATGACAGACAACACCCCCCTAGTCAAGTACATGGCTGGATGGAAACCGAGTGGGCACTCTTCCCACGTGGGCCTGGTGTCGGGAAGTTGATGAACCTAGCCACAGATGATAGCAACATATCACTTGCATCGACGTACACCCTGGGCCTGTCTTTGGCACTTGGTATCTCCAATGTGTACTCAGGCAGGCTGCTTGCCAACCTGTCTCAACTCGTCCATCATTGCTCTGTGTTCTGTGGGTGTCAGATTGTGGCCAGTGTACATGATTATGTGTGCTCCCTTCTCAAACACTGGACTCTTCTTGGGCTTCTTGTTGAGGCCACCGATATAGGTATTTGCGGGTCGAGGAGTCTCGCTATAATGTATGGCAAAGAGACCGAGGCCAGCGTGTAGGATGTTGCTCGTCTCATCTTCACCTGTGAGTAGCACTCCCGTAGATGTTTGCTGCAGTAGGTCCAGCACTTGGTCAGCGTTCCACACAATGAGCCACTGTGCAGATGTTGAGTGGGCCATGGAGAGCGACCAGCTTCTTCATCCTTTTGATAGCAACTTTGACATTGTGCGCTTGCGAGCGATCATCCTATACCCATCTTGCCCAGTGACGCTCTCCGTGCTCCGTGTAGTATATGAAGTCCATGCGCTGCTTGTCAGCACTGGCTAGAGTGGAGTACGTTGGAGGGACATCCACCCAATCGGATGTCATTGGTGCAGTGGTGGTTGTAGTAGTCATTGATAATTAGATAGATGTATTTGTATTTGTTTAGTGAATGTAAGCATTGATGGTTGTGAGGCAAGAAATGTGCGGGAATAAATTGAATTTAGTTCGTTCCCACATTCTATATGCGGGCACATTTTAAACACAGATTATTCCCGCAGCCAGTAGGGGAAGAGTATTACTTTACTTTATGCTTTATTAACTTGTTAACAAGGATCGATCTACAGGTACCAACAACAAGCATTTAGACACATGATATATACCCATCGCCATCGACCATCGAATGGTATGGTCATACATACATCATACGATCAGCGATCAGTATCTACATATCGACTAACTCGGTGGTTCACAAATCGAGTTAATGAGGCAATTGTGATAAGGTTAATTACACTGCTTCACCTTGTTTCTTTATATTAATTGCCAACCAAACGTCAGAGGTCTTGACAGTCACAGTCTGTGGTCTGTTTGACTTTATCGCAATCTCTTAAACAGCCTAGTATTATATGATTTGTGGAGCGAAATGACACCATGTCGATTGATTGTGGATCAGGTGTCAAAGTTGAGATATAGTCGATAAGCCTCGTTCTGTTTTTATCTGCTGTAATAAATGATCGTATAAATATGATGATAGACATCAATGTAAAGTACACAACAACAAGTACAAGTGCTATCGAATGGTATCGACTATATATGTAAATCAAATGGAGTTATGAGTTATAACTATAAAGTGATGTGTGATTTATCTGTAATAAGTAATAAATGTATGATTGTATGATCGATGAGGAGACATTTATGTTATGTATAATACTAGTGTAGTATAGTTGCAGTGTTATACTGATACGTACGTATCTGTATGATAATCTATCTGTATAGGACACTATTGTACCCACCCATCGAGTGAAGAATCCACTGATGTCAATGTGTTAATGTTATTATATGTCCGTATCTGTTTTGCCACTGTACGCCAGCCAGCCTTCAAGCAGCATCCAGTACCTGTACGATCGTGGTCCTGTTCTCCAGCTACATACATATCTGGCAACCCTTGGTGATCGTAAGTTCATTGCGACCTTGCCATCAATTGCTACCAACATCAAGTACCCTGTGCCCAAGCCAGAACCTGTTAATCTTAGTAAGTTCGATCACGGGATAGCACACCACAACAAAGTCGAGTGGAGTGAAGATTAGCAGGTTATTTGTTGATGATTCAAATGATGGGGATATCGACAGCTCGTGATTCATATTTTAGCTCATTGCTCTGCATATATCTTATATCTGTCTGTGACAATAGGATAGGGTGGTCGATACAGTTGGTGGTGGTGGGAGAGGAGTAAGCAACAATAGCCATGCCTGCCACTTGCCAGCCACTAAAGTCATTAACACTATTGGCTCAAGGCTCAATAATAATTAATTAAATGTGTTTTGACCAAAAAAATTTGAACAGACATGTAGTTCATAAATAATCATAATCATTGCAATACACACAGACGAACAAACAGATACGGGACAACAGATACAGGACACGTGATTGACCCTACCTGAAGACATATATTATGTAGCGCACGCACTGTTATGATCATCAGCATCTATCGCAACTTGAATCATATTCCAGCTATTCCTTGTTGTAGACTACATCTTAGTGGTGTCTACTTTTCTGATTGTGGTGTGGTGTCCAGTTGTCTAGTTCAGAGGATCATCGAGGAATGGTGAAGAAAGGCAAGGACAAAGACAACAGCAAGAGGAAGGATTCTGAGGATGGAAGGCAATCGCCAGACCCTGACACACCTAAGAAGAAATCAAAACAGCAAAACATTAAGACAAGAGATAGCAACGATGAGGAAAACAAATGCAATAGGAACAAGGGCAGTATTGACATAAGTATATCATATTTATTGACCGGACCGGACCACCCATATCCCGTATGGCGTATGGTATGATCTTTCGCCTGGTCGAAGAACTCGCCATGGTCCATGGTCAAGGCTCCGATCCGAATCCGTCGATGACGGATATATATCCGATCGATCGTCATCTCATCATACAACTTGTTTGGACTCTCATACAAATATCAGGATGGATTTTGAGAGAAACAGTCATCCGATCCGGTCGGATCGGAGCCTTGTCCATGGTTGTGTTAGTTAGAAAAAAAAAAAGAAAAAAAGGTGGGTTTTGTTTGTTGGCGCCAAAACCAAAATTTTTCATATGATCGTACGAGGTACGAGCGTACGAGCATGCGTACGAGCGAGCATACTGGCTTGTAGAGAACGAGTTGTAATGAGTATGTATTGAGTGAACAACATGACATCATTCACACACACATATCTGTGTGTATCAAATACAGCTCACGTATCTAACAGTACAAACAATGTTATACAGCTAGATGTATCGCAACATATCAGTAGGGCAATACCATGCGGCTTTTCTCATATAAGCTCCATCTTTATCAAAGAAAGAGCAGTAGCACAACAGCAGCCGCCCCAACAACAAGAGAAGATGAAACAGAAAGAAGGAGGCAGAAAAGGTGGAGGGGGAGGGAAAGAGAGGAAGAATGAGAGTGCACCACAGTTAAAGCGACAAATAGAGGAGGGAGAGGCAGACGATGATGTCGCACAACCGAGACTGAGTCATATGGATAATCATAGTGGATCTCACAATGAACTCGAATCACTACGACGCATACAGAAACTACTGCCAGTGTGTGACAATATCCAGCTCATAATGAACCCACATGACATCATCTATTACAACAAAGCTGGTCGCATTCGCATTGAACATGCTCATGGTCAAGATATTCCCCATCATATTGATGAGACTTCACTACTCGACCCCCAGAGGTCATTGGTCACCCTCGGATGTGGAATATCGCTACATACATTACTTAACAAGAATGCCTGTGACAAACCAGATGACAACACCATTCGCTTCATCTCCCTCAACATTCTGAAGTCTGTTCTACTACAACTAGTATATCAGATTATCGTCATTGGGGATGTCACCAACATCTTCCATAGAGACCTCCACGAGCACAATGTTGTGATCAACTTCGCGGTAGTCAATAAGTTCATTTCACTGGATGTGTCTGGCATCGCCCATTCGTACATTATTCGTGATACATTAGAGGCAACAATCATTGATTGGGAGCTCACTGAAAACAAGTATGACTACAGTCCTGGATCATCTCGAATCAACAAGTCCAGCCGACAATATACCCAGAGCTCCCCTCATTCTTCTCCCAACAATACCAAAGCCCAGCACACCCACGCTGACTCTGTCGATAGCATGTGTAGACCAATGCAAGTCCTTAAAAGAATTTTGGACTTCATAAAAGAGGGTATAGCTGGTATCAACCCAAATGGAAGAAAAGAGGATGTGGTCTCACTAAAGAAGCAGGCATTACATTGGCTATCATCACACTTTTCCAAAAAGGAAGTGCCAACGAGTAGTGGCCCAGTTGCACTAGAATCCATAGCGTACACATTGCTTGGATCTATTCTTCTGAAGCTGCACAGTATTTGGAGCAGCGAAAATATCAGTTTCGTTTCATTGGTAGCGCTTGCACTACCTACTCCAGTCATCATCCCTTCATGGCAGAGACAGTACAACATAAGTGCATATACCTGCTATACATACATCAAGCATCCTCATCCTTTTTCATCTGGCAATTTGGCATTGGCACAACCACAATCACAGGAGGTGGTACTGACCGCCGCTGATACCGCCGCACCCAGTATACAATCATCATCATCGGCGGACAATAATAATAATAACAACAATAGGTCATCGAGGAAGAGGTGGCCAACAAACAATATTAGAGCATTCATGCATCGGAAAACGGCACAATTGCCCCGTCACTACGATCAATCGCATGGTAGTATTCAGTTGGTCATAAATCAGAAGCTGGAGTTCGTTGCAATGGAAAGCGAGGCGAGCTGTCATGACAGAATAATGCAAATAGCAACATCAAATTCAGATTTACGAGATGGATCAGGGAATCAATATCATCCCTTTATAATTGACACGATCAGAAAGGAGCTATTGGCATCACCATCAGCTCCAACTTTGCAATCACAAACCGACTCATCATGTACACCTACTACTTCCACTACCGCACCTGCACCCATTGCTATAGAGGCATCCCCAACAGACTACACGACCCGAGCGGGACCGTATGATATCTATGGAGTCACATACGACGATCTTGACGGAAATCTCTATGTCCATTACAACAAATCCGGACTCGCCGGCTTATTCTGCAAAATTGATATTTCTGCTGGCACAGTCATCACCCAATATTACGTTCCATCGTTCCATCACTTGGATCTGCATAATCGCGTCATTACCAATGGCATACCTCTATTACCGCCGCAATCTATCACACGACCAAAGCCAATAATGTTTGGAGGGGCAGGTAATCAAGTAAGGATGTGCAGCGACATCACAACGAATGCAACACGTGCATGCAACCATGAGCCAAACGCTACATCTCTCATCAAGTCATCCACGAGATACTTTCAAGACATTGATACATGGGTTGTAATTGCAAAACATGACATCCCTGCAGCAACAGAGATAACGCTATCAGAGCAATTCGATCAAAAGTCACTTCACAACCTGACCAAAAGCCACCGAAATAATTCGTATGCACACTATTACACACAATGAAACTGTGAATCCATTCCAAGCCAAGGAAATCTGCAGGAGGATTTGGATTGAAGTTTGAAGTCATTGAAGTTATTTAGTTATAGTTTGGGAAGGAATAAAGATGACTGCTGGGACCATTGAATAGGGGCACACACAAGGTCATGTCATATGTATCTATCGATTGAGTCGGTGGTTGCTGCACGAGGATCAGTATTGATGTTATAGGTTAGGTGGTGACATCTCATCTCAGAAGATGATTCATGATTCACATACTTTGAGGAACAGCAGCAATACAAGGTGAGGTGAGGTGAAAAAAGATCGTTCAAAGGAAAGGACAATAATGACTGACTGACAATTTTAATTATTAAGCGTCGTTCGTCGTTAGAAGAATGACTAGACGGGAGCTTATTATATATTACCTTCTGTCTATTTGTATGAATGATGGATGGAGGATGGATTGATGTTTATTATTGTTTGGTTTGGCGGGCGGGGATGCAGCGACTGTGTTGATTTATGATATTGTTCTTGATTGATTGATGGATATCGGATGATTGCCCGCAAATGACCGACGGCTCTGTCAAAGTTGCCATCGAAGCAAAATGTGCCCTCATTTATAATGCGAGAACAAACTACAAACTAAATTCAGTTGTTTGTTTATTCCCTGGAACATGGAACAAGGAAAAGGAACAAAACTGTTTGTTGAGGAGAGCTATAGATATCAACAATAGAGTGAAAGCCAAAATGRATGGAATGGGAACAAAGATAGCATGACAATACCCCTTCCTTGGAATGATTATTATCATCAGTTGTGATCAGATCATTGATCATTTATCTTAGATCTGATAACATTGACCAACATTTGGTTCATAGGCCAATCACCTCACCAGTTCTGTTTGTCATTGGTTAATAAATGAGTGGAGGAGGTATGCAGGCTCCGTACCCGTACAACTACTAATAGTCTACTAGTGGTTCCGCCACCTCAGTTCAGAGAGTTGATTGGTGTTGAACGCTCCAACACCCTCTTGGATTGGAAGTGGAAGGTCAATGGTCAATGTTACAACCGATAACATCAATACTGATCCTCGTAGTTTCACAGTAACCTCAACCTCAATCCCAATCCCTCGAGAAGACTGAGGATGAAGGAGAAAGCGAAGAGATGGCATCGGATGAAGGAGAAGAAGAAGAAAGCGAAGCGAAGAGACAACAGAAAACGTGAGAAAGGAGGGCGAACGAATATGGGGTCATCTCATCAATTTAGTCCTTAAATATCAGCCAAAGAGTGGATGGATACGACCACTTAATGGAAATGACATCGAGAGTGTTTGTCAGTGCGTTACAGATCCAGTCATTTTTGATTGGATCTACGAACGGAATCAGAAGATGTTCATTTCCCCTAACTTATTGGATAAAGTTGCACTTGGTCAAAACTTGACGGTGACGGAACTGGCACTGCGAGTGCTTGCTTGCTATGCTAAACAATGTATACCCGTCACTTTGCCATGCTCCATTAACGCCATATGTACACCATGCACCAAGTAATATTAATATTACTATTGATAACTGTATTGTTGTTGTCTGCATCGGCTTCCCAATTGAAACCATTCTACATGAGACAAGATCACGTCATTATCACTGGGGACCCGTAGTTAGTTTCATCATATAGTCGCTGGGCCGCAGTGCCACATTCCACAAGAAATGTGTGGGAATAAATTGAATTTTTAAGGGGATTATTTATTCGCATTTTTATATGCGGCGGATTTGACTTCATTGTGCGGGAATAAATTGAATATGGTTTTTTCTCACATGTCACACGTATAAATATGCGGGCACATTTTTAAACCCAGATTGTTGTTCCACAGCCAGCCCACAGACTGTTTTCTTGGGGGGGGGGGGGGCGTGCGTTGGGCGAGCGATTAATAATAAGCGTCAAAAA